TGAAGCACCATGTGCTAACTTGGCTAATGCAGGAAACAACAACAACAACAACAACAACAACAGCAGCAGCAGCAGCAGCAGCGAGGGAAACACATTTACACACATGACATTAGTTTCTCACTAATGCTGCACTTAAAAAAGAACAGGGACATCAATATGTTTGTTTCTGAGCCTGCAGTCAATTTGATAAAGAAATGGATCAAGCCTGGAAAAAAACAACCAACTCAGGTTGTCTTGACCCTGACATTTATAGAGCAGCTTCGTTTAGATCCCATCAAAAATTAGGCCTCACGACAATGAAAGATCTCTTTCCCCGAAATACTGAAACTGTTTCCATGCCTGCAGCAAAGCCAATGAGCCAGAGTGGAAGACATAACAAGGATTAAATGATCAGAGACAAGGTGGAAGGCATAACTCGAACTATTAAACACACAGTATGTGATTCTGTTATCTCAGATTAAGGTAACGTGTTGACTTTTACATGGGGATTTGCCACTGACAGCTCTCTAACAGGTTGTCTTAAGATGAGTTGTACTTGTACTTTGGTTGTACACTAAGTTACCCTCAGCTTGCCTTTATGATCCAGCACTAGACTCTTATACAATCTCAGGCGTCTCAGCAAGAAGACTCAAAATGACAGAGGCCAACAAAAGGCTTTGTAAGTGATCTTGGAGGCAGCGCACCCGCCAGGCTTGGTTACTTGACATGGTGTTATGAAAGCCATTACGTCACTGCCAGCCAATGGTCGCTGTTAGTGGCCATGAATTACTGATCTACTGTTGCATTCCGGGCTTCATTGCAGCTTAGAGCAGTAAATCATAGAGAACAGCGCTGACAGCCTCTGTCCGACTGTCAGGGTCTGCAGTACCAGTAGCTGCTTGATATTAAAAGGGAAGGACCTCGCAGAGCCTTCACAGCTGTTTAATACAGGGGGCTGGATAGTGTGTGTTGTGGTATCACTGACATCACTTTATGTGATTATCAAATGGTTTGCTGTTCAGGGGATGGACATTTCGACTGTACAGTACGTTGTGTTCCCTGCAATGACACTTATGAATAGTCCATGCTGACCTGATTAGGAGTAAATTTGATCAACATTTATTATTTGAGATGATGCTATAGTGCAGAGCGATCTAAAGGTTTCCATTTGCTGTATCTTAATGGTAGGGTAATGGTAAAATGTCATTATATTGCAGCGGGTATGTCAGCTATCATTAATTAACAATGCAATTTGATTGTGAAGGTCTATTGGTGTTTGACTTTGTCTATTTGTGAGTGGTTACAATACAAGAGGACACATCCCCCTGATGTCATCTGGTGGAACCCCCTGTTTCGGTTTTTGGTCCAAATATTGCTGAACCGTTTCTCACACTGGCTCACAGTTCTCCTCGGTCACAGTAACACAATAATAAAAATGTGTTATCTCCTTCCAGGATCATTTCATCATCATATGCTGTGGGCGGCTTATTAAACATGCTGTGCTCTAGTTGAGTCCGAAGTCATCAGTTAACTCTCGGGAGCTGCTGTTGGGACTGTTCTCGTCAATCCAAAATTGAAAAAGCCCTAAAAAATGCACTCCTGCAAATAGTGTCACAGGAGGAAGACATTTTGTGCATTCAAAAGTATTTTTTAGACAGATTTATAATAACTGACACCTTATGGGCCTTGAGGAGAACAGATGTCTAGCAGACAGGTACACATAGTGAACCCTGAATTAATTGGGGAGTCCAAATTTCAAATTAAAGAAAAGAGCAGCACTAATAATTAATAAATTAGGTGGGAGAGACTCACTTTTCTTAGTATTATACTTTCTATAGATGACACCATCTAATTTGGCTTAAAGCTACATTCTGTACACATCATAACCTCATGTAAGAGTGTATGTGAAAGAACAAAGGACAGCTGGTAATGAATGAAGCATCACGCTCACTGGTAAAGCATTCTCCCTGCCTTTTTCCCCCTACCAATTATGCTGCAGTATAGCAAAAGAAATTGTTCCTTTGGCTTGTGTACCTGCACCATGTGCAACTTGTCTGGGAAAGTTGGCTACACATGTGATGTGTTAATCAAAACTTATGATCAGGTCGTTTTCAACCACCTGTCAACCATGACAGGGGAAATCATAAGGGTTGCAACCTGACAGAGGATACACATTTCTCTGTATCACATCATGGAAAATATGCAAGTTTGATGTGCTTGATGCTGATCCAACAGATGGATGTATTAAGAACAGATTTATTATTTATATATTTATGGTTTAGGCACAGATGCGGTGTACAGGAACAAACTGAAAACAGGATCTCATTCACATATCATGGTGTTTATAAAGGATGTTAATTTGCAACAGTCGTTCTTAGACGGGCTTTTGTGAAAGTAAAAGGTAAACTGAGTTCTGCAGGATTCACATCAGTAATAACATAGGTATAAAAAACTAAAATCAATAAATATGAATAATATGGATGCCAGTTTGAAGAAATGAGCAGCAATGAGACTATGAAGAGAATCTGTTCTTATTGAGTTTGCATCTGAACCTGGGACTGCTGCATCTGAACATGCTACCCAATACCACAGTTGCTCCCTCCAAAGAATAATAATCACAATAATGTTACCATCTTTCCATCATATATGGAAACATTTAGAAATAATAATGACTAACTGCATCTTCAGCTGTTGCATATTGTAATGCAAACAATGTGCTGTACACACAGAGCTCATGCGGAGGCACAGCGAGAAATGTATGATTACTTTTGCGTTCTCTTGCAATAATCTTTGAATTATCTCACAATATGTATTGAATTACTTTGCAATAGTTTTGCATTATAAAATGACATCGTTGCATAAAGTAGATGAGCAACTATTGCAAGATAATGAGAGACTTATGGCAAGGGAATGGAAAAAATTCCTCCCAAAAAGTCTGTGCTGTACATGCATACACACATAAACAAACAAAAAAACGACTTAGTTAATTTCCCCTCCCTTGCAGACAGAGAGAGCATCTCTATTCAATGAGACAGTGGTTTAATTTTCCAAAGTCATATGAAGTAATTATTTACACTAAAAAGTTAAAACATTTTGATTGCATTTGTTTTACCAGGAGCATTGCTTCTTTGGCAAACGAGGCTGGGACAAACCACTGATATCATATGCATTAGCACGACAGATATGTTGTGGTGAGCAAGATTCATCATCTTGAGGATCATCTCTCTTTTTCCACCCATGCAAAAAAACTGACAGGATATCTCTTGGTACTTGTTTTTAGCAGAAGAGGAATTCACAGACTGCCCCTCCTCTACAGAGACACGGCCGTAAACAATGAGAACACGGATCCATCATCAGCATATGAATGACTCAGCCCGATCAGCCATTCACACAGCAGTTTGCTCTTTGAACCAGCATGGTGGAGGGAGCGAGCACGCAGCTGACACGAGCAGCTGCTGCTACATGTGTAGTACATACTCAAACAATATTCTGATGCTAATGATAAAATGAAATGCACAATTTAGTCTCCAAAAATAAAAAAAGGCTTATTGGAACTACAGCAATCAAACAGCTTGAGCCAATGATGGTAGACAGAGAGCTGCATTGATCAAGTGATTCGGTCTGCATTTACCTTCAATGACTCACTATAGGGAGAGAGCACTAACAAACAATTTAACAATTAAAAAGCCATATCACTGAGAGCACCGCCCACAGGACTACGAAGCTCAAACAAAGCTCGGCTTAGACAGAATATTGCTATAGCAACAGTGAACTGACAGAGAGAGAGAGAGAGAGTTAGAGAGAGAGAGGTTTAAATATTCAGAATGTGTGACTAAATATACTTCACCATGGTTGTCCACTGTTAGAGATGCTGCCTGTGCAGGAAATACAGCAGGGAGGAGATGTGACAGAAAATGCATCACGGCCCACAATAATGTGGATGTTGCACATTTAAAGAATGATTTCTGAACCTCTTTATAAATGTATCCATAAATCATATTTATGGGTATTTCATAACACCTTTGTTCACTAAGTTATTCATTCTGCAGTTGTGTGCATTATTTATTTGACGTGTACACGTGTAAGGCCTCATTAATTCAAGTTGCTCCAAGAAAAGGTGGTAATAACAAATTCTATAATAAATCTTATAATAATAATGAATAAATAAGTTATAATACATTCTGCATGGCACACTATATACAGTTATTTTAGGTACAGAGGTGTGACTTCAAATAGTTTGAAAATGAGATGGATACAAACTAATAAATGAGGAGGTTCTCATTACCCAGTGCTGTAATTTAACGTAAATAAGTAACTTTGGCCGCTCTGGGTCTCTCACTCAAAACAATAACAAAAGTCCTAATCTGATGACATGAAGCAGCATGGGATCATGGGAGTAGTTGGCTTGCCAATGAAAATCTACTTGATGTAACTCAGGCATAAATCATGTTCACAGATGAGGTGTTAAAGTTTTATTTACGTTACACAGCAAACGGAAACAAATAATCATGATCTAGTACGAGTGATCAATACAAACAGTGGGAGGTAAAAAATGCTGACAGGCTAACTGGCTAGCAGTGTGTTTTTCTGTCACTATAGCGTGGAAGTTACAGCAGAGACGGGCACAACAACGTAAAGGTAAAGTAGATTTGATGCGATTTAGGCAACCAACTCAAATGTCCTGTTGAGGAATTGTTACATATTATATCTCAAGCCCAAATATAAAACATTATAAGTTTAATCACATCT